TTGCAAGCACCAAGAGCCAGGTATTTGCATGAAACAGAAGAAGTGATTCATAAGGATTTCAGGATATATTTCAGCTAGAAACAGTTCATTTCAACACAGGTGTGCGAGCAGGAATGATGGGGAAGTAACCTGCCCATTTAAACTGTAAGCCACTTCATGACAATCGCAGAGGCGATGTCAAATCATCACACATTGGACCATTCATGCGTGGCAGTAGCTCCAAAAACTGAGGGGAACGCAAATGCCTCCAACCTGCCATGCTGATGGTGGCTTGCCCTTCTGACCGGCATTTTTAAGCATGACATTTACAATACACCTGAAGCCTGTCATACATCAATATTTGTTGCCATGGTTGGCATTGCAGGAAACAAGCATATCTTTACAATGACCAATTACACTCACAAATTACCTTCTCTGATCAACTGGGCCACCCAGCACCATACCACCTTCTTCCCCCGGTCCCAACAATATATCAACTACCCCCATACAAATGCATTTATGAGCAGCTTGCAACAATAAGCCCAGCTACTGAAGTGACTCCCAAATCATACACAGCAAGTGGCAACAATTGTGGTTGGGAATTGTTGCTGGCTGTTAGAAAAAAAGTATGAAATGTCTGGTGTGACACAAGTTTTACTACGGGATGGCTGCCCCCTCAAGCTCAGTAGCAAGCATTACATGCATGCACGCACCATGTATGGAATAGTTATTTTGATAGGGTCGCGCAATGGGAAATAGCTGGTATTGCCAGCACTCTGAAAAAGAAGATAGCCATTACAGCTATCAAGAAATGGTGCTAAAATCCTGTGTGGTGAGAACAGTGTTTCCATTCAGACTTGCCATTGACTGGCAAGAAGGTATGCCGATATTTGCTTTCATGACATCCCATGGTGGGGGTACACCTGTGACATCCTTGCGGTCAACAGCGTTGGGTGGATACAGATTGATGCCTAGGTGATACAAACAGCCATATTTGGACGTCCCAACGACCATATGTAAGCCAGGCAGATAACCGTGTCATGCCCAAGGCAATCTTAGCTTATCATTACAACTTATCCATTATAATGAAACAAAAGTTGCCTTATGACCTGCAGACATCAAACACAACATGGCACCAAGGTAACAAATCTGCTCACCAGTACAAAGAGGGTAGTGTTATGCACCAAGGGCACGCTATCCATGCTGCAGGTCCTTTTGCACAAAGTATCACTTGGTTCATGTACTGATGACAGCTTTCATCTATCATTCACAGTTGTCTTCTTGTTGTTTCCAAATGCTCATTCAACAAATCGGGTCAAATTCTGAAAATATATTTTACAACCGATGCTGACTATGCAATATTCTAGATTTCTGGATGCTCTCCATAAGATGCAGGTATTATTCAACCACCTATCTCACCCACAGCATACCTAAAAACAACCAGTTACATGACTACATCCATAGCAAGCAAATAAGCCCCCTGCTTCGCATCCATTTCATCACAGCTGGCTTCAGCTGTTCAGTGTGGTGTAACTTAACATTTCTTTAGGGTGTCAAAGTTTGAGCAGATCTGTCCATCAGATAACTTGTTCACCAAATGCTAAAGGCATAGGAGGAATGTCTGAAAAACTCTTTCCTGCCCCCAACATCCGCACTTCCATGCCAGTTGGATGGAGACATTTCCTGACTGAGGGAAATTTAGTAGTATGCCCTGCAAATATTTTAACAGCAATCCAAAACTGCACGAGATCGTTGGCAAAACTAGGTATAATGGCCAACATTAGCTTCATAAAGCTTTTGGAAGCATGGAGCCTGCCGCACATATAAATTAATCTAAACTTGAGCCAGACAAAGTCGGTACACAAACCTGACATCCACTTCCTTAACAGATCGCTCTAGGCCATCCGCATAACACGCGTAACTTACGTGTGCGGTCCTGTGACGTTTTCCATTCAAGGGTCTTAATAACTGGAGCTCTTGGATGACTTCCAACATGGTGGTCACCTCGCCTTCCTCACAGTTTTCCTTTTTCTTTTCCATCTTGGAGCGTTTTAAACAGTGAGCAAGAACTCTTGAAAACCGGCAAAACCAAACAGCTGAAATGACGAACAGCAATGCATACGACAGGCAGTTCCGGTGATATGTGCTTTTGCCAGCGACTACGCCTTTAGCAGCCTTGACCACCGATAATCCGATCGAAATCTTTTCCTGAACAGATAATGCTCTCACGGGAAAGGATTTTCACCGGCTTGTTATTTCGAATTATCGGAGCGGCGCGTGAGTGTATACATGGGCCAAATAGTTGGGATCAAGGAGGCGTCCCGGCTTAATTCAAATCACAGCTGCCTATATAAACAGAGTAAATGTCTCGCAAATTAGGCCAGCTTCTGTAGGGAAGCAAGGCAATCGGAGGCGTCTAAAAAAGGCGGAAAGTGGTTAAGCGCGTCCTTACTGAGTCGCCGACTAAGGCGCTGCACCGCGTCGCGGCATGAGGTGTCTCGTTCCGCCAATACGGCGAGTTACACGACCGAGACATGCCGTGCTGTACGCGTCTGGTCGCCAGGGACAAACGGTTGCGTTTGGAGACAGCAGAGCGACGGTGCAGTGTACCGAACCCCGTTACCCTCGAAGCTGCCGCTGTCGGCGCGCCGATCAGGCGCGCGCTGATCGGGTGGGCGAGTGATCAACCGGATCAGCTCTGGCTTAAGATCAGCGGTGATGGAATCAGCTGCCGCAAGATCGGATATGTAAATATCGCTGTGGAGCTCGTCAGCCAACTGCCCGTCAAGCGGTCGGCGATCGTCATGGCCTGTGTAAATGGTAACGAAGACGCCGAAAATCCCGACCTGGTGGCCGTCCTGAAGCAGGTCGACGGGAAGCAGGAGGACTCACACAACATCGATGGGATCTCGGTCCAGTTCTACCAGGGAGCGGACCTCAAGTTCGTGTGGATAGTGTTCGGTATGGCAGGAGGTCCGAGTGACTTTCCACGCCCGCACTGTACCGTCAGTTAGACCAAGAAACACAACGAACGGGCCAGCCCGTGCACCATCGACGCCATGGCCGCCCCGGACCGGAAGCCCATGACATCGAAAACGAAGATGGCAGATCGACAGGGCATGAAAATGTGCCCCATGATGATGGTGCAAATCCCCGTCAGCCGTGTCATCGCCGGCGAGATGCACCTGGTGCTGCGGGTGTCTGATCGCATCTTCCTAAACATGAAGGTCCAACTGGCAAAGTCTGGCAGGCTACCACAGCTGGAGCAGCAGATGTGGAAGATCCTGAAGGGCAAAATAAATAAAAAATATGTGACAATCTGCAGGTGTCAACCAGGCCGAATCTTCAGGACTGCGAGCTGCTGTCGAACAACCTGACAGTGTACTACCAGTGGAGGAACGTGGACGGCAGTTGATGAAACTGATACACTCCGATTCGGGGGATGTGTCGGTCATGGTTTGTAGCCAGAGCGGTGCTGGGGAAAATGTGTGACGAGTGACACACGCCGTGTCTCTCGGTGTGCCAGGGCGGCGCCTTCACCTCGTACGTGTACATCCTATGGTTCCATATGCCGGATCTGATATGCAACACCCCTGTCTTCTTCCACCACTTCAAGCAGCAGCTGGCGGAGAGGGCGAACACCGAGCTGAGGCGTGATGCTGAGCGCTTTAAAGGGAACGTTCCGCCTTTATATGCGGTTTTGAACTGAAAAAGCCATCTTAAAGACCTTTTGATCCAGTTCACGGTCATGCCCTTTTTAAGATCCAAAGCCCTCTAGTTGCTGAGTTGCACGCCCGTAAAAGGGGCAAAAGGTTTATTCAGGGACTATTACAAAGCCACCTCCGCAATGATGATGTCATGAAAACATCATATCAAGAATGGTAGCAAAATCATTAATAGCACAGCAGCAACAGCAGCAGCATAGCATATCGAGCTGATGCTTTTCTCAATATCTTCAAATGTGAAACATTTCCTTTAAGTGCTCGTCCCACAGCCTGATCGTTCAACATATAAAACGAGATCTGCTGTGCACAAACGTAAATACAACGCAGTAGATGAACGCTTTTTATCGAGATCTTGGAGCCAACGGGAGTGAGGCCAGCGGACTTTCAAAGGTAATATGGTTTCGGAAGGCAATTAACATCGCCAAGTTTGCTTAGCCATTCAACTGGTGTAACGTACGTAGGTGTACTGGTGTTCATGTGTACTAGGTGTTCAACTGGTGTAACGTTAAAGCAATGTACGTAACACATACAGTACAAGGAAAACATTACTTGTATGTTGGTACGGAAAGGGCATCCTGGGAAAATGACTGCGTCCTTCGGTAATGAGTAGGTACGTAATATAAACCTTAAGTAGACTAGCAGCACGCCAAAACAAAATCCAATTTGAATACCCATGAAAGTGAAAGGCAATGCACGCTGATTGCATCATCCCTATGTAAAGAATAAACATACTAACAAACTGCATTGCCTTTAAGCTATGCAAATGGACAAACCTTAGCCAATAGCGTTCTTGCAGGTATAAATTCCCATGATCAACAACACTTAAAGTGATGTTAACCACGGCGGTAGGTCGGTTCTTGGGCACCCAAATCAGCGCACATGATCATGGCGCTACCAATCATGGAGTGCCTACTAAAATCATGCCCCAGCGCACCCTGACACTTGATGGAACAAGATCGGGCGAGACTGGATGGCTTCTGTGATTCTGTCTGCCAAATTTCGAGTCTCTGGGTCATGGCTTCCGTGAACAAGAGGACACAAAGTCCTGTATGTTGAGCGCGTACAAAGTCACATCCTAGAGGACTGGTCACAATCTTGGTAAGTGTAGGCAGCTTGGTAAGTGTCAAAGAAAATGTTCCTCATGTATGTATTTAATATGTGCCTAGCCTATATGATTGAAATATCACAGGCCACATGGTGGAGGGCTGTCACTCAGCGCTAGCGTCTCTTGCACCATAGGCTGAAACTGTAGGGTAACAAACCACATTTTCCCACCCACCATCCCACAAAAATTCCTAGGGTTGAACCGCAAACAGAACCTACCTCGCTATCAACAATTGTGCTACAGAGTTACCCACATTTGGGGTAATCGTATAGACCATTCCAACCCAAGTGCAATGGAAGGGCTTCGTCGTGGGGGAACCGCCTCCGTGATCACGGTATCCCCTGGGCCAGATGTGAGTAATGCCAGGTTGGTTACTGGATTAGTCATTTCCACCAGTAATGATATTTTCAGGGCTTTGAAATGAAAGAGAATTGATAACGGTGGGGAAGGATACACGCGCCTGGGGCCAACCACCGAGGCTTAGCTCGCGCAGAGATCCCTCTGCGGCGTATGCGCCGGGCGTCCGGTCGAGGTCCCCTCCGGGTGGCCTCTTGGCCCACTCGTGGCTGGCGCCCGCAGTCTGCCCCGGACAGGCGTGGTATCGTGAGGATGCAGGATGAAGCAAGAGATTCAGAGTGTGGGATGTTTTATGCCAGTCACGTTTTTCATAACATTATGTTTCTGCGACGTACCACAGCACGCGACCATAATGTTTATGTGTTCACACCCAGCGTTTGCCGTTCTTTAGATATTTTGCCCCTGATATGGATTGTAGAACTTCATGTATATCATGCTACACGTTTAACTACTACTCAAAAACATTCAAAAAATGCGCTGAAGAAAGATGTAACGAAAGAAACGACCTACGACACCATTTCGTGCAATCACAATATCCTTGAACCAGTGAACAGACACCTCGGTGGCCCAGTAGCTAATGCCACCTGCCAGCAAAAGACCGATGCCCTTTCGTGTTTCAAGCTGTCATTCAAGCATAAAGTCACGATAAGTAACAGCCCTTTTAAGAATACCGTGAAACTTCAAATTCCCACTTCACACCGTTATCTGCCGGGCAAAGCGCGTACTTCTGGTGCTCAATTCACCATCCAGGGCCAACATGGTGGAAGATTGCATTCGGTTGGCATGACTTATCATATGTGTTTCCCAGCGAGGGCGTAGCTTTCCATTTAGTTGGGTGTGGTTTAGCCCCCACCCCACTCATCCCCACTTGTGATTCCACAACTTTGAGAACAACCTACGTTGAATCCTAGAAAAACAGTTAGTTGACCATTTCGGGACAGGCGGCGTCATGCTTTCACCGCTTACCCCTCCCACAACTCATTTGGCAAAACTTTACCCCTGGCTGGAAGTTGCAAGCATCAAAGATGACAAAGTACAAGTGACACACAACTCACTGAGTGAAGGCGTGGACGGCGGATAAATTCGCCGCGACTTCACCTCAGTTCGTGGTCGACAGGTGGCAGCACTGAAAAAGGCATGCAGGTGTGGAACGAGTGGGTGCTTGGTGGGCACATTAACGCATTCATACTAAATCCTGTGAGAGAGGCGACTAACCAAATAAACAGCTATTTAACCGGATGAAAATGCGCATATCATTTACATAAACCACGCATCAACCAAACATCGGCGAACCAGATATGTGCGAAATTTTATCATCCTATAGACCTGTGTTCGATACCACTTTTTTAGAATCGCTTTACCATTAACTCACGGCTCTTGTTGAAGGATTCAGCTCTCATTCAAATCATGAGTACGTCTTTCATGAAATATTTTTTCTCGATTCGCATACCAGGTTTGAGCTTACAAAGCATGTGACCACAGGGTTGTATTTCCCGCCTTGGATATGGGTAATGTTTGTGTCATATGATGCATCCAATGGCTACAATCTGACTCTGTTTTTCAGATGATCAAACAGAAGAACCATCCCAGGGCCAACCAGGGGACATACTTCATCACATCCTGCTTCCTGCAAAATGTCATCTACAGGAAATAAGGTCATACCTGATTCCTGCAACTATCATACTGTGCATTCTGAGTGTCTTATCCCGTCTGTATTTGGTCTGACCTGGACTGTGCATCATAATACAATCCTGAGACCCGGATGCATCCTTTTTTTAGTTCATGAATTGAAATGAGTTACGTGCCTGCAGAACATGTGTTATGGGTATACCACACACAAACATATACTGATGCTGAACTATATTTGATGACAACAATGCAGCAAGCGCTGACAGATCCAATCAGCGTGCAATGAGTCTGGAAGCTACTATCTAAGTACTGACAGCATACCCAGCACCGTTTAAATGTTCACATTACGCCACACGGTCATGAGGATGCAATCGCATCACAAGGTAATGACTAAGTGTTTATTAGTTGGAGCCAGTTACAACCAGCCCATATGGAAAATAAGCTTGAATACCACTCCGACGAGACGCACTGGTCTGCCTCTAACGTGCCTTGTTTTGCTGATAGCCCACCAACCTCAATCCACGCTAAAATCACAAAGATAAATACATCAGGACCGTAACACGAATGCCAGGTTAACTCCCGATAGTTTCATTCTCGCTGGCAGCGAGATGTCGATTGCCACCCTAGACGCAGCACTCTCTTACGCCTATCAGCGAGAAAGGATGACGTTTGCAGGCATGCAAAACGATACCCTATCAGTCAAATTGATCGCGTTTTCATATGTACATTTGTCCTTCTCATCAAACCATGCATTTCGCTGATTTCCGGAATATTTTTTCACATGAGTAGGGGCCCGTTTTAAAGCTATTCTTTGCGCCTCAGATAGCTAAACTTGAATTAACTTCTGCTAGTCATGCGGCAATGGTATCAAAATGATACATAGCACAGGGTAAATAAACACCGTTTAGATAACGTCTTTGTCCTAACCTATAAATTAGAGAACGTATCTATTTTTTATTCGTCCTGCTCCGTAGAATTGCCACCCAAACCTCTACCCTAGGTTTCGTCGGCTATTTGACCAGAATTCGTAACAAGCTAGCGATAAAAAAGCGCAATATTGTTTTCTGTCAGTTATCAAAGTATTAAGCTGTTCTTTGCTGTTTCTTGTACATCAAGTTCATTTTGATGTCGGGATGTCAAGAGGGTGCGAATTGAGGATGTCGATTCCGTGGCAAAATTTTCATTTAGCAGCACTGGAAGCGAGCGGGACAAACGCCGGTGCCGTTAAACAGATAACCTGTTCGTGCGGGGTGGTGGATGGGCGAGGGCTACAGTGTCAGATGTGTGCCTGGGGTGCACTTGATCCTTTTTCTCTGACATGCACCTCTTCATTTGTCATTGTCCATCACGCACCGCTGCCGAAATGGGACGAACAAAGGTTTTCCTTGAAAGTTCGGCGAAATTGACATGTTGCCTTTGTCACACCTTGATGCTTAAGAGCAATGTTTCCCGCAACGGCACTCGAGTCCATGGCATAGCACCGAAAAACTTAAAATTTTGAGAATAAATTTTAGATCCTAGAGTGCGAGCAGCTAACAATGAAAGAACGACGGCATTAACGTAATATCAACTTTACTCTGATTGGACAATCTGAAAGCCGTGACCTGGAGGATGAGCATGACCATAACTGTGCCGATGTTGGTGACCTTGGCGTTAGCCGCGATGATGACCACAAGGATCAACTCGCCGATGTCGGAGCAGATGACACAGGACCAGGACGTGACGCCCAGCGGACAGAGCGGACATATGACGGCAGTGAACGGAGGGCTGGGGACAGTCGACAGAGTGGACAGAGTTGCTGGCAAAAAGCTCACCGCCCCTCTCTGAGGCGACAAGTTTCGCGCGTCAATCACTCACAGTGCACAGGCTCAACAAAAGACCCCGTAAGCTTCAGTCCACGTTTCCTCAGACTTGATTTAATGCAGACCCGGGTACGTTTTGAAACATATATATATTTTCACATGCTAGGCAGTTTTTTTCTGGAAGTCAGCAAAGAGTGTCATGGCCGTCGCCGCTATTGGTTGGAGCCGTGAACCTTGTGCAGCGCTCGTGGCTGGCTGTCTGCCAGCAATAGCTCCGATCATCTGTCCGGCATGCGTTGCCGTAAGGCAGCCGCGAATAGCGACGGCCGCGGTGCTTACGTCATCCAGCCCCTAGCAAAAAATGTGAAAATTGCATTAAAATATGTGTTGTCCGCGGGACCTGTGTTTATTGTCAGTTTGCATTCACTCGTGGGCGTTTGTTTGCTAAGTTCTTCCTTCCGATCTCAAATGTTGCTACTTGGATCTCTTGGCTTGTGGGCCGGCTGCTGGCGGCGGTCGACTGACTTACGAACTGCGGCCAGCAGTCCCATCCACATTGCACTTGTACATAGCCGTTATGTGGCACTTCATAGCTCATTGAGACCTTTCGGTGTATTCGTCTGTGTCTCGTGCAGCCCTTAGGAGCTGTGCCGTTGTCTTCAGCGAAAGGTGCCTGACGTGTTGTCCGATATCATGGTCAGATTGGAAAATATAATCTTTCTATTTCATGCGCTGGCGTGGCTTTGCGCTGAAATGGGAGCTCTTTATGGGAAGCAGACGCAATCCGTCGTGGCGGCCTCCACGTGGTGGATTACGGGCAACTGAGCCAACCACGCAAGGCTGTTGACAATTGCTCTTTACAGAGCAGAACTGAAATCTCAAAATATTCCTGGCTGGGACCTATATACATAATCAGAACGCGATGTGTTTATCATCTAGTTCTGGAATCAGATGTGACATGAACATGCATCTAAATCTTCGTTTCAAGAAGAGATGTATCGACAGAATAGCGATTGTGTAGAATCCGTCGAATTCAACTAAGGCTTTTATCTTCGAAGAGAGGATGCCATATTGGCAACGTGCCGATTATTCAGTGCTCTCCAATTGAAACGTGCTGTTTCGTTGGGCACTTGGTGCCTGATAAATGAATGGTGGCATTAGTCAGCTACTTGCCCATTTTTCGTCTGTATTCAAGTTAACATCGTGCCGGTGTTTTGGTTGCGGTCTGGAAAGGAAAAGGATCCAGGATTAGTGGCAAATACATTTCGGAAGGAATCTTTCGGTGCGTAATGAATATGGGATGGATATATATATATATATATATATATATATATATATACACAAGAGATAAACAGATATATAGACGGATATATGGATAGAAAGATAGACAGATTGAAGAGAGACACAACTTAATTGCATCCAGATTCGATAGGAGGGTGGGGACATGATTGTTCTTGCGTTACCTCACAGGGGCCCACGACCATCCAACTATCCATGTCAACACACCCGAGTGTCCTAATTTACATCAGCTCCAAGCTCGAACATGAAATGCACCTGTGCTGCTTCAATACA